AGCGAAGAACATTGAGGGGGTCGTACAAAACACGGTAAATTACTATCAGCAGTATAGCATGTGGCGAGAGAGGTGGCTAGCAAAAAGACAAGGCCTGGAAAAAAGACTTGGCTTGTTGTCGATTCTCGGGATAAGCACTGGCCAGCCCCAACATGAGGAACGGGGGGGGGGGGGGGGGGCATGAGGCATATATCTCACGCGAAAGACGAGGTAGAAAGGAAATCCAGCTGGTACCGGAGTTCCTACAGGTTTCAGTGCACCGCCGGCGGGAGAACGCGTGCGTTGTCGGCTGATTGCCACTCCGCTCGTCTGTCTCTTGTCTCCCCCCCTCCCCCCCCCCTCTCTCTCTGCCGTGTCTCCCTCTCTCTCTCTCTACCCCTGTACCCTCTTACGCCCCCCTACCCCCTCCTCTTTGTTTTGATGTTTTTGTGAAAGATGGACGGTCTCGGTCGCGAGAAGAGGAGAGACAGGGTCCGTTCCGGGAGCATCGTGAGCATGGCGGGGGGCGCGGGCTTCGGGTCGGGGGGGGAACCCCAGCGCGAGACCGAGCTGTCGGTGGCGATGGAGAACCTCACCCTCGAGGAGATCGAAGGGAACGTCTTCCGCATGAGCAAGGACCAGGTACGCGGCGAAGCAGCGGACGTCTGCATACCGCTGTTGCTGTAAAGTGCTCGTAGGTTTCCGGCATATATTAGTACCCAGTGTTTTGTGTTTTGAAGGGCCGCAAACCGAACGGCTGGCGCACTTGTCTGTAGCCCGCCGGGAATCAGGTGAAGAATCGAGGAAAGCATAATAAGACGAAGCACGACGGAAAGGACTTCGTGTTGGCGGAGTGCGAAACCAACCACGCAGCAGGTCGAACTATTTTGGACGGGTACTAACGAAGTCTTCGGCTCGCTAAACCTTGCCCGTCCGTCCCCCCGGACCGCGTGCAGCTTGTGGACCCGCAGCATCTCCCCTGCTATGCTCTTAACAGTCCAGTGTTGTTTGAATCCTTTGGTTGTAGCCTCCCTGGCACTTGTAGGCCTCATTAGTTGGCGTCCTTGTTTGTTTGATCGACACGGAGGCCCTGGGCATTTTTACGCGACGACACCCCTTGTATGAACGCAATAAGTCACTCCCCCCCCCTCCCCGTTCCCATCTGTGCACCCCCCCCCTCCCCCCCAGATCGGCTGTAGGCTTCTCCAGCTCAAGCTCGACCAGGGCGACCCCATGTTCGTGTCCAAGATCTGCGGTGAGGCCCAGCCCTACCTGTCGGAGATGATGAAGGACCCCTTCGGGAACTACCTCTTCCAGAAGATCGCGGACAAGGTGGACGAGGACGGCCGAACCGATCTCGTTAATCAGGTACGATCGCGACCGAAAGGTGTAGCGTGTAGCTTGTTTCTGCAGCTCAGGTGCGATCGCGGTCACAGGCATATGTGTGTAGTTTGTTCGTGCGGCTCAGGTGCGACGACGACCATGCTTTTTGGAGCTTACTCACGAGCGCGGGGGAGGGGTCGCCTCTTGCCTCGACCTTGACTGTTTGGGGGTTGGCCACGCAGAGAGTCAAGAATCGTCGTCGCTGGCGATGTTGGCGGAGGTGGAGTGAATGCCTCTGCTACGCCAACGCTACTTTGAGAACAGAGTGGTGAAAAACGCCCCCAAGAGTTGATCGTGTCGTGCTTGTGTAGTCGCGCGGTATTTCCCGACCACGCTGCCAACGAGTACGTACGCTGTGGCATGTTGCTGTGTGTAGATGCCCGTAGAAAAAAAACGTTGTAGTTTTGCTCGCGACACTCGCCCGCGCGACCGCGCGTCCGAAACCACACCACCGCTAACGCTGACAACCGCACACAAGAGGGCCGCAGGCACGGCAGCCGCCACCACCGGAACCACGAACGTACCCGACCACCCCTTGCCGTTCATCCTAACGTGTGGTGCAGGTTGCCGGTCAGATGGTGGAGGCGGGGATGAACCTCCACGGCACCCGGTCGGTGCAGAAGATCATCGAGGTCTGCAGGGGCACCCCCTCCCAGGTGGCCGTGGTGGTGAGCGCCCTCAAGGACGCCACGGTGCCCCTCTGCCTCGACACCAACGGCAACCACGTGGTGCAGCGGCTCCTGCAGCACCTGGCCCCGACCGACAACGCCTTCGTCTTCGAGGTACAGTACTGGGCCCTGTTTAGTGCTGGTACGCGCACAGAGCGTTCACCGGCGCTAAACCGGGCACCCGGCACTATTACTGTTGCGAATAGTGCCAAAACGGCACTATTGAGGGCTGGCCAATCCCTCATTAGTGCCGGTCTGGCACTAATGAGGTTGTGTTCGACTTATATGGTGTAGCGCCCACGATTGCAGGGTCAACAGAGTACGAAATGGATCGACGCTGCTGCTGTTGAGTGAGAAGTTCCAGCGTGGGCGTGGGCAGACTTTCTTTCCTGCAACATGATGAAGTGGTTCCAACCTGTGGAGCCAACAAGTGTTTGTTGTAAAATAAGATGCAGTACATAGTTGCATTTCGGGCTACAGCCTCACCAGGACTACTAGTGGACGGCGAAAGTAAGACTCGCGTCATGCACCCGAGTAAGCTGTGACGGCACAAACTGCTTGTAAAGCGCGCGTTCGTACAAAAATCCCACTCCCCGTTGCCCACTTCGATGTTGCAGAATGAAAACGAAGAAAAAAATAACTCCGAAAAGCGCACCAACGACAAAAAAACAAACACACACACTACTGCTGTTCAACTACAGCTGTAACCCCCACCCTCACTACGTCGGGAAAAATTATCTCCTGTTTGCCTGGCGCACCCGCTTTGATGTTGCAAGAAAAAAAAAAAGACAAGCCTCCTTGTCGACGCTACCAGCCTCGTCATGAAGTCGCACGCTCTGGATCTTGTTGCGCTTCACGAAGTTCTTGGCCCACTTTTCGCCGGCCTGGAAATCCTCGACTCTCGCCTTCACTTCCTTAGAAGCTGCTGGATCAGCCAGCAGGGTTGCCCTGGCGGAACGGCCGAAGCTTCGAAGGACGTCGCGCGTGACGGGCATCTTGGTCTTCCGGGCTTTCTCTAGTAGATCAAGAGCTATGGCGTCCACCTATTTACCGTCAAACGAGGAGTAAACAATATAGAGGGTACAAAAGATCGCACGACTAGTTTCGAACATTAGCCTCGTTGCACAGAGAAGTTGGAAGGGAAAATTTCCACTGCATCTGTATGTCGGTCTATGATTGTACTCGTTTGGGAAAGGGACAGGGGAAAGGAAAAAGGGAACAACTTACAATAAAAACAATTAGGTTCATCAGAACAAAACGAACAAGTCTGGAAAAAAATGGCCCGGCATAAAAAAGAGGGCGGGAACCAAATTGCGGGAACAACAGACAGACGTAGACTAGACTGCTGTATGTATATTTTGTAAAGCAGTGTAGCGTACCTCCGGAAAGTCGCCTGTGCGCATGTTTTTCTTGCTTCCTCTGCCTCCTGCAGCAGCCTCGGTCTCGTACTTCTTCCGGTTTTTCTTCACATCCCGGACCAACCGTTCCGAGCACCCGAAGCGGTCTGCTATCTGCTCATGAGTCACCATGTCATCCATCAGCTTCAGCATCTCAAGCTTGGCGCCGAAATCCGGCCGCGCACGAGGCCCCACACGAGGCTGAGACTTCTTACTCCCCCCATTCGTGGCCTTCGGGCGTTTAGATTGTGCCCTCCCAGCGCTGTCTGCTGCTGGCGCTTTGCGCTTGCCGGCCTTGGCGACGCACGCGCTGCAGATGCTGTGATTTTCGTTGTCATCATCCGCAACGCTGCCGCAAATGCCGTGCAGCCGCCCGCCATATCCTCCCTGGCAGCCGTGGCCATCTTGCGGCGTTGTGTCTGGTTGAGCGCACAGTTTGTTCACCTTCCGCACATGGCATGGTACGCCCCTGCGTAGAGCTGTTCGGGTCTGCAGCAGCACGTGTACCCTAATTCTCTGTGTGGAGTCTGTCTTCTGCCTGGTTGTGTGTGTGTGTGTTTTTTTTTTTATTATTAGCATCGACCGCGCTAACCGGCTGACCAATGAAAAGACGTCAGTCTTAGTGCGGTTGAAAACGCAAAACGTGTGTGTGTGTATGTGTGTTCGCGCTGGGTAACCGGCACTATTGGGGGTGACAGCGGCGCCGAACCGGCACTAAACCGGGCACCTGGCACTACTCAACCGGCACTAAACAGGGCCCAGTACTGTACTGTAATCAACAAACCAGCCAACCAACCCGAGCGTTTGTTTTTTGTGTGTACTGTAGCATTGGTTATTATACAAATGACCACGAAGGCGTTTTGTATCGCAGGTTAGGGTACACTATTATAGTTGTTGGGTCGACGTACTTGTTGACGACAGGGTTTAAAGGTGGGGGATTGCTAAAGTTTGTTGTAGCTAGAACCGCTCACATCGCCATGGCTGTTGTGGTGGTGGACAAGAGCTAGTTTTGTGTAGTTTTGTGTCTTTTCCCCGCTGTTCGGAGAGTGAATTTGCCGCTTGTTCTGTGCATCCGACGGACGGGTAGAAAGACCCATCAATACCGGCGTGCCTTGTTCCAGTCTCCTTGGACAAGGAAGGAGCATTGCGCCTCGCCTCGCATGTATCTCCCTCCGACAAAGATAGAGGCGGATTCGACCGCTGCTAAATACCCCTTTCATTCCACTGCTCCAGTTTGCCTCATCTTGCCCTTCACTCACTCAGGTATTCACTTTCTGTTGTTGTCATCGAACCCTCGTTTGTTTGGCGTGTGCGTTCTCGCAGATGCTGGCCGAGGCCTGCGTCCCGGTGGCCACCCACCGCCATGGGTGCTGCGTGATCCAGAGGGCCATCGATGCGGCCACGGTCGAGCAGTCGAGGCTTCTCGTCTCCCAAGTGTCAAAGCACGCGCTTCAGCTCATGCAGGTGATGACAATAATAGGCGTTTCGTGCTTGATGCCCCTCGAATGAAATGTTTGATGATGTTCTCGTGTATATTTCATTTGAACTCGTTGGGAACGCGCCGATCAAAGATCGCCAGTCTTGCTCCGCCGGTGCCAAACGAGCATGCCCTTTCGATTCCGCGAGGCTCCCTCCACAATAGGGCTCACGGAGTAGATTTCTGACGAATACATATCCACCAGGCTCCGGATTCGGAGTGATCGTAGACCGAGAAGACCTACTGTAACACTTCTCACGAGTCACTCTTGGTATTTCTCCTGCTTTCCACCGCTGCTCTGCTAGCGTCACCAGTTTGTGATTTCTTTATATATAGCAAAGCTTGGCCGTTTTCGTCCATGCAATTCGTTCTGGGCCTATCTTCACTAGCGTCGAACTACATCGAAAGGTCTAGCAGCCTAGTCTAGTCCTGCGTGTTGTCGTCGTCGACGGTTTGTTTTCGACGGTGTTCTCGATGGATCGAAATCATCCTCAATGCTGTGTTGCATCATGAAGCATCGACCGACAAATTGTCATCACCTCCCGTTACCTCATATCACCGCGAATGCGCCTGTCGTCCATGGGGCTCCCTGGACAGCTCCCTGATATAGAAGAGGGCCACAGAGCGCCTTGGACGATTTGGTGTGTTTTTTTGTGAGAGAGCGTGAAGCGAAGGGATAACTGCCATTTACTCTCAACGTCGTCGTGTTGTCACTCCTTCTCACTCATTCATTATAGAGATCCCCAAGAAGGAATTCCAAAATCAGGCGTGAAGATATTGTGTTATTTTTTGCTCGCGAGAGAAAGGGTGGTACAGTAGGGTGAACACGCTACACCAATCGTAGGAAGTAGAGTCCATGACTTTCGGCGGTGGAGATCTGTCGTGCGTGAATGATTGCGTCCCAGTGCTTCCTTCTACCACGGTATCCCTCGCGAAATAATATTTGCGTCAACACGAGCAATGTCCCGGTGGCGGGTTTGTCTTTTCCCCCTCCTCTGTTCGTTTGGTGTTGCTCTCCGCTGCTTGTCTTGGCAGGACCCGTACGGCAACTATGTGGTCCAGTACGTCCTGGGAATCTGCTCCCGCGACGAGGCTGTCACGCTTGTCAACGTCCCAATTGGAAAGGTGGGGAATATATATATGCGTTCATTCGATATGGTACCGTCGTACAATGCACAGGCACGGGGGAATGAGCTTTAGCAATGCTATCTACTGTAGTGCTGTCAAATCAAGGCCAGGAGACGTGTGGACTGCAGCCGTTGCTGGGATGATCGCCTTTTTCTCTTCTTGCGGTTTGTTTCTGGAGTGGTGTCGCAACGTTCAAGCATGTTTGGGCCTCTTGTGTTAGATTTTTGAGCAGATGTGGGTCATCGCCGATTGCATGGAGTGCCCTTGCAGCGGCAGCAGCGGGGAGACAAAGGCGAACGAGAGAGAGAGAGAGAGAGACGTTGATTGCAACCGACGCGTCTTGTGTCCTTGATTTGACAACCACTGGTAAAACTGATTCGCCCGTGCCTGTGCATCGTATTTTGAGGCTCACGCTGCCACTTGTTGCCAAGAGCTCGCAAACCCCAGAGCTCGGTTTGTTCGATGCTTTTATCCGGTAGTACGATCTGTAGGCTACCGCGTTCTCCTGAACCCAAACCACCATTTCATCAACCAAACACCCATGACAGCTACGTTTAACAAACTGGCCGATGTTCGTCCTCCTTGTCACGCTACAGGTGGCGATGCTCTCGATGCAGAAGTTTTCGTCCAACGTGATCGAGAAGTGCATGGACAGGGCGTCGGAGGAGATGATCGTCAAGTACGTCCACGAGCTAGCCGACCCGGCCGCAATGCGCCCCCTCCTGCAGGTGAGGCCAAGGAAGGACTTAGGTATCGTTTCTTGAAAATATATAAGCTTCGTCCAACCAAGGAGAGACTACCCGTTCGAGATGCTACTATTGTACTGTACCACATTCTTTTTTTTGTTGCAAGACGCAGGACACCACCGCCTCCATCCAGCTGTAAAGAAGGTTTTGCTCGCCTGACGGAATGACAGGCCGGCGTAGCGATGTTTTGTGCTCTTTCACTCACCCAAAGTTGTGTATCTACATGTTCCACTAGTGGTACAGTTTTCAAGATTTTGCGGCACGCTTCCTGCTATGTACGAAGTGTAACTTCCGTATCCATGTTCTACTATGTACCTTTTGTTGGCGAGAAGGGGGCGCTGTCTACGTAGTGCGGCGTGGTTCACGGGTACACGATAGAGTACTTTGTGTCAGATGAGATTCATTCCTAGCTGTGAATCCCCACCCCCCGGTAAGCCGCCGACTGGAAAATGAACAAGAAGCACTACTCGTGATCGAATGGACCTGATCCCAGTTTATCGTTTTCCTGATTTTGCGGTGGTGTGCTGATACTTGCCTGGCACCCGTCACGCTCTGGCCGCTCGGCTCATTGGTGAGAAGAAAGTCCGATCATCGTCCCTCCCCTATTCACTCTCAAGTAGGTGTTGTATTGCTCGTACCGCGACGTGCTGATTTGACCGCTTGTTTGATTTTGATTTTGCTGGTGACTGTCGCCGAAACAGGACCAGTACGCGAACTACGTGATCCAGAAGACGCTGCAGCTGGCACCCAGGGACGCGGCGCTCACCTTGGTTGAGAGCATCCGCGAGCACCTGGTCCTTATGCGCAACTCCTCCGGGGGAAGGCGGATGCTCACCAGGATCTCCAAGCGGTTCCCGGTGCGTGTTTTTATTTGCGGGGGGGGGGGGGGGGGGGGGGGTTCGGCCCCCCCTTCT